TGTCTACTCAAAAATCCTTCTCCGTACATCCTTTGAGCTTCCATCTGCATTTCCATAAATCAAATGCATGCCAGAGAGCTCTCCATTCAAGCAACAATGCATATATCTTGAAATTATCTAGGAGAATGATGATTTACGTCACTGAACTCCTTTTACCTACAGATCTCAATAGCATCTTCTACAACGTGCCATTTCTTCACACACATTTTGTTAAAATAGCTACTATTTCGGTTGTCTTTACATTTTTGCCAGACATTTTAATCATCCTAGGTATTGATTGTTAGTAGAAAAAAATGTTTACAAGAGTCTAGATTTACATCTTTTCCCTGACTTCTTTTTGAATGCATCTGAAAAAATGAAGGATGCAGATCCTTTTTCGAAGAAAATACGAAATCTCCCTTAGCAGCTGTCAACTACCACACTCTCGCACGAGGCAGCTGGTTTAGAAACATGCGCAGAAAAAGGTTCTGTTCTCAAGTTGCTTTGATTGAACTAGAACTGTACCATTGGCTCACGAACTGACACAAAGATTATTAAGCGACTTAGCAGTATATCATTAAAAAAAGCGGTAGTTCATTTAGAGTTCGCGCTTGAAGAGCTCTTGTAGGAAGCGAGCCAGAAAATTTTTATTCCCATTTTAGGGAAGAAAAGAAGTTTTACACTCCCATAGTAAAAGTGAGTTTAATTTTCATCATTTCCCAAATTTTTCATCAACTTGAATTTCATAATTAGTTCTATGTTAGAAGGCTTTTGGGAATCTCAAAACTAGAGGCGAAAGTTAGCAGTTCAACTGAGCTGATCTTGACGAATCCACTGCTCATTCGATTCTTCCCATTATTAGCTTCATCATCACTCCCTATTCCCGATTTAATTCATCACAGTCATTGTTAGTGAGCTATGAATGGTTAAAAGGAACCAAATCAGTTCAGTGAGCAATTGATTCTGATCCGATCCCATAAAAGAGCAGTTTTACCCACCTCTAGCTTATAGAAGGGAAGGGTAAAAGGTTTTTAACCACGGACTGAAAGTTGTACATAGTCACCCTCCTTTTTCAATGAAATCATGCTTTCTGCACTGTAGTTTGATCAGTCATTTCATAGAATAATTTTTTCTTGGTCTCATGCCACTGAACAACTATTTAAGAGATGAAAATGACAGGATTTCATTTCCTAACATCAACAGTATATCCTAATGAATTTCTGCTGCTGCAAGGCCTTTCCAATAGAAATACTAAATTATGTCCCTGTCAGCCACTCTCTTCTCTAACACTCCGTTTATTTTCCACTGGAAGAACATGAGACAATTTCATAAAACTTTGCAGCACTGAAAGATGAACCTAACATGTTACTAAATATTTAACTACCTACCATTTCTTCCTAACTACCTACCTTTCAAGTTTAAAAATTTTCACTCTTCCTACATAATTGCATTTCACAGATCTTGTCATTTGATCACTTGTGGATTTAAGTGATGTCTATGTCAGCAACGTATCTAACCTACTTACATTTTAATCACTCAGAATATAAATTTCTCTCATCAAATAATTAATTTATGATCTAATTTCTTTACCTCGTGCCTTACATGTTATGCCACTGTGAAAACTGATTACACATCAATAAAAAACACAAAATTCATTACTCTTACTTTTTATTTAGGAATTAAAATACTTGGCTCAAAGTCAGTTGACAAATCATAAAATCATTTTATATGCAGTCTTCTTAATTCTACTCAGCTAATTTTTCACCAATGCTAGGTCTTACAAAAATATAAACAGTTAAAGAAACATAACAGCAGTTGGCACAAGAACAGAAACAGTTGAATTCTACTAAATGTATGACAGCACATTTGATAAGTATATATTTCAGATATCTCATAACAAAATATACAGTGTTCAATAATGAACTGCATTCTTGGACAGCACAACGTAAATTTAAAGAAAAAACATAAAAAATAATAAATGGTATAAATCATATACGCAATGAAGTACATTTAATAACTTAATATAAAAATACTTTTAGTTGCATCTAAAAATTATAAAAAAGATCCTGCATTAATAATTCCTAATAAAAATTTCTTGAACTTTTTGCAGCATTTAAAAATATTTGATTCATATCAAACTCATCTTTCCACATGTGAATGTGTGGTGATTATAAACTGCAAAGCAGCTAAATAAATAATATAGTATATAAATTTCATATCAGAAAATGTTTTTTAAAAATTACCCAGTAATAAGAAACTATGGGTAAGTTTTGCACTTGTATACATACAAGTTCTAACAGTCGTTATCTAATATGAGTAATTGCAGGAAGTTAAGTATGTTAGTAATGACTGCACATTTTAAAACACATGACTACAAAATAAAATCTATTGCATATTTGAGGAACTTTTGAGTTCTACTAAAAAATTAAAATATGAGATCATTTCTAGAATGAACATTAAATTATAATGCACAGAGCAATGTAACATTTTCCAACAAAATAGGCGCTGAGATTGTATGAATTTTTTGTACATACATAAAGACAACTCTTTTTAAACATAATCGTATAGATACTATGTGTTAAACAACTGTGACATAGAGTAACTTCAGTATCATTTCTCATGCTCAACAATCCAAATGTATTATTAAAGCAGATTCACGACCTACTCATATGATATGCCTAGAAATAGATGTGCAACACCCAAATAAATTTATATTTATGACTAGAATTGATATTTTGGATGAATGAAAACCAAAGACATAAAATTGCACTTCATTTTAAGTAATGGGAATAAAAAAAATTCCCGGCAAGAACTAAATAACACTGACGACTCAAATTCAGCAGCGAACATCTACAACATGTACTAAACATACTTGCACCATAGCTTATATTCATTCACATTTAGCAAGGATATCGTGTGCACAGTCATGGCTCATAAAAAATCTTACTTTGCAAAAAAGTGTTCAAATGTTTTCCTGTGACTTTAACCATATAAAAGTACAAAGGTTACTCATATGAATTAATTTTTATGCTGCATTCTACAGTTGGCTACATTCAAAATCAAACATGCTATAAAAAATCATAATTACTATTTAAATATGCTATTTAAGTATACAGATATAATTAGAATTCCACAAAAAATATTGATAAAATGTTAAGCACAGAAGAACATAAGTAACGGAAAGGAAAAGTACCTGTCCACATTTTGAAATTCTACAAAATCATGCCAAAAACTATATGTATGCCATAAAAACATGCCAGATAATTTTACTTATGTAGAAATAACATTCATACCATACATTTATTAAAGATGATATTTTATCATACACAATTATCCTCGTCTATCCACATAGCCAATTTCTGGCTTAGACTTCTATGGATTTATCAATGGCCTTGTGCTTCAATTCCAAATAATCATTTTCCCCATGCAAAAAAAAATTCTTGTCAATGCTTCTGAGCATCATTAATTCCTCATGCCTAGCATTTCAATCTTTCCTTATGCATATATGTTTCACAAAGCATATTTTTATCTATGCATTTAAAAAATATTTTCTACACTGGTCAAAAAAAATGTTCACTGATGCATATTACTGTGGAAATAATACCAATAATTTCCAATTACTGTGGCTTCAAAGCTAATTATTATTTTTAATTTGCAATTATTGTCTTTATTACCATTGGGATTGTAAAAAATTACAGTCAAAAGAGACATTAGTCAGGATAAAAGAATGCCTGCTTAATCCAAAAAGCAAACCAAACAGCAACTAGTCACACTAGAACACACGCAATATATAAATATCCATAGTCTATTTATTATCTTTATTTAAAAAATTAGTGCTCTTTACGTGTTCTGATTTTTTAATGAAATGACTAAAACTAATTTAAAACTGCTAATTTAAAAATTTTTAATTTAAATTTTTACTAAAAAACGTACAAAACAAGTACAAATCGAAAAGTAGAGCAAGCGTTTCAAATTAGATACAGCGTTACTATAATTTTTTGGGGGGAGGATGATATATTTAAAAAAATAATGGCGAGCTCTAATTTTCTAAATGGACAGAAAACGGAAACAAAGAAAAAAATCAGAAAAGTTGGCAAGGTAAAAAATAATGGCAAAAAACTCTCTGAAACTATTCTAAAAAAATCACAAATTGAATACAGCCTTTTTCTTAGAATAAGTTCAAGCTAAAAAAATACTGCAATTCTTGAGAACACATCGCATTATGTTTTATCTAGGAAATTCTTAGGCTCTGTATAAAATGCACTTAGACCATGAACGAGATATGCAGAAGAAATAGTTTAAATGCGATAGAAAGCACTGAAATGCAGAATGAACTCAAAGGAAGTCGTATACCAAGCAGCACATGAAAATGTAGTGACTAATACTTTCGAATCCAAATAACGATTTTAATTTAACGAAGAGATATATTTTGGCTTATTGTGCAAAAGTATAATTTGATAATATGAATTTAAATGCAACAGGAAAAAATTCTGTGAAGTATGAGTTACCATGCTTAAAAACCAGTACTTAATTTGGAAGAATTCTTTATCAGGCTTTTCACATTCTCCATATACCATTTTTCGGTTTTCTTTAATTAGTTTATATAAACTAAATTATAGAATACAGTTTTTATATTTTATGGATCAAGCCATAAAATACATCTTTGACATAAAAAAAATCTATGTATTTCATTCTACAAATGAAATAAATACAAAACTAGGACTTAGTGATCAAAAATTTCGTGTCAAAATGAGCTGCTTATACTATGCAAAAAAAAGCTCTACTAAAAGATGGCACAGTCTATGGTACTCCATTCTCAATTTTCAGAAATGAAATCAGTTATAACAAATACAGGTTGTTGACTAATAACATATAATAGGTATATACAAAACATATGCAAATTTGGAAGCCCATTATGATATTTTAAATAAGGAAATAAACTGTATAGTGTAGAGTTGGCCATTCTTTCTGGAAATTAAGCTTAAAGATAAATGGAGAATATTGACATAAATCACATAGTGTTTTTTTTTTTTTTAATAGAGAAAATATTTATTGTTTGAGATAGTAAATGATGATTAATTTCAGCAATGTACTTAAATGTACTTGTTTCAGCAATGTACTGTCAATTTTTTATATTAAAAAAATATCAGTTCTGAAATGACAGTCATTTTTGACAACATTACTATAAAATACAAAAGCTGAAAACTTTCAATATTATGGACAGGTAAAAAAAAAATTAATTTAACCAGAAATTACTAAAAATAGAAAGAACAGCTAATAAAATAAAAAATTATGACAACAGACCTCAGACATGAGTGATATTTGAAGAAAATAAGACAGGAAGTTTATGTATTAACAAGATCAGAAAAGAGAAACCATTTACACAATAACTAATTTATCCCAAATGTCACCTAAGAATTTAAAAATCTCATGTTAGATTGATGATGTTTATCACTATCTTCCTATCCAACAAAAACTTGCGTTAACATATAAAAATAAACTATGAAAAATATATAACTAAAGATAGAATTAAAACCATAGACATCTAATTTTGAAATTAATCCCATAGCCAGATCAAATCAATCAAAGTGCCATGCATTTTCTTGATTCATTAGCTACTTCAGTTCAGTAAACCACAAACAATATAGCAATTCAAAAACATGGAATCTATGTGAAAATTTGAGGGCTGTTACTAAAATTATGATTCACGGTTAAAAAGAATGTTATTGAAGCCATGTATACGGAAAACTGAAAATTGAGAGCATTTGCACTGCATAACTTTCAGAATTTAACCTTTAATAATACCATTCATAACACGAATGCATTCAAATGAATTTGCATTATATGCCATTACTATTTATGAAAATTTAAAAATGAAGAATTTATATGATTTTTTTAAATCACTAGATGACTTTGAGGGAACGCTATATTAGTGGTTGCTTAGTTTCTCAACACTTCATGTAAGAATCCTTGTATGTAAGAATACAGATCAATTTTTTGCAAGCGAAAACAAAACAATATGAAATAATACTCCCATGACTCTTGTCCTTTTTTTTTATTATTTTTTTAATGATCACTATTCATAACTCCCAATACTCTTACAGTAACTTCATACACAAACCCATTTAGATTGTTTGTAATTCAGCTTATAATGTTTGCTACACACTGCTGGCATGAGAAATTTTACAATTACTAGAGGTAAGCCTTGTGTGCTCTTAAACACTGTCAATCTTTTCCTTTCCTTAAATACTGACATCCTTCTGAAAAATTTTGCTTTTATACGAGTCCCTAAAGCTGATTTATGTATACTATATGTCCCTAAAGCTATATGTAATCCCACTACATATATTCCACACGGATGTGTCAAATTTACCCACAAGAAAATGAAATTGTATATATAAATGAAGAATGAAAGAAAGAATGAAAACCATTGAGATGACTTATTATAGTGACATAGAAAACTTCAAAAATTATCACTCAAACTTAGGCACAATTTCTATACTTTCTGAGACATAATTTTGTTACTTCGGATATCTTTCAAGAAACACAGTATATGTGTTGGTATACATGTATGCACCAGTGACTACACACACAAAAGCTGTATAAAACACAGATTTTTTAATTTATAAGCTGCTTTTAGCATATGTTAAATACAATTGACAACCATTAAAATAATTACAATAAGGAAAAGTATAAAGAATGAGCAGAATTTTACATAGTACAATGCTCCATATAAAATATTTTGGCACAAGATAAGTACATCTATGTTTGCAAACCATCTTACAATCAAAAATAACTTAAGCATGTAAAAATATTATGCAATAAAATAAAACTTATACTCTAAACAGACATTTAAGACAGACTGAGGAACATTTTTTTCTATTGCATACTCAATAAACATACAGTATTATCTAAACAACTGTTAATAACAGACTGAATTTTTTTTTAATATATGTAAAAATTTCAATCATGAATAAAAACCTAAGAAACTTGCACATATGACTAGAACAGCAGTAAAACTTTTTCTCTTTGCACTAAGTATTTTCTTGTAATCAAAAAATCATTTGTTTAAATTTTTGTTTTTTAGCATTTAGTATTAGGATAAAATATGTATAATTACATTACTATGATCATAAAATTTGTATTTTAAATGTAAAATTTAAATAAATTCAAATTAAAAACTCGTTTATAAAATGGTAATTTTAATAAATAAAATAAAATGGATGATTAAAGTTGAAATTATTCTTTGCCTCCAAACAGACAAACCAATACAGCAAGTGCAAATCAGCTGAGATTCAAAAATTCTGTGGCCTTTCTTTTATAAAAAAAGTCATACCCAAATTTTTTATTAAGATTGCAGTTTTTTACAAATACGTAATACTGATAAAGATATAACATTAATTTTCGTAAAACTACAGTTTTCGTTCTCTAAATAATTTCTAAGATCTTTCTGTACGAGCATCAATGACTTTTAACTCCCACAATAAATCAACAAGCATATGGCACATAAACATACAGCAGTTATGATGTAGATACATTGGTTCATTTAAGATGTTACTTCAAAGCTTCATTAAAATGTAATACTTTTTTGCCAATTATATATATACATTTAATTTCATTGTCAAGAACTATATAAAACATGCATTTTTACACATCATATGACCACATAAACACTTTTAAAATTATATTTTTTTTACACAAGAATTGATACTTGACACATTAAAAAGAGTAAACTCTAAAAACTTTTGTACACTTTTAGCAGCTTGTTCTTTATGCTGAAATTCAGCATTTTGATTTTAAAAAAAAAAAATTCAGCCTTACTCATTCATACAAATTTTTGCCCCATTTTTAAATATGCAAACATTTCAGAAACCAGTTTAGATGTAAAGGAGTAACTTTCTTTCCATTTTTACTTACTTCATTTGCATCTAAAAAAGGAATTGCTCTTCAACACATCACACACTTATGTGTGAGAAAGATTTCAAATCAAAGATAACAATTCGAGTTTCAAATTTAATATTATGGATAAGACAAAAAATTACTGGGAAAATGCCTCAAAAATGCTTGCTGAAATGTTCACAGTTGAACAGCATGTTTAATGTTAACTGCTAACTATTTTACACTTAAAAACGTATTGTAGATATACTTAAGCAAAATATGCTTCAGCAAAGAGTAATATATATTCCATGATTCGCAATATATATTCTAGTGCCATGATTTAAAATAAACTTTAAAACAGCTACTAATGAGAGAAAAAAGCTGAATAAAAATTGAAGTTTATATATTTGAAATTATTATCATCATCAATTCATATTAAAAATTTATTATAATGTCAATAATTTTATAACAGATAATTGTCATATTATAAATATATATAAAAAGATCACTATTGTATTCATTTGACACATACTGTGTTATCTTACCCCTCACCCCACCTTTGCAATTTCCTGCATTTCAAAGTCTTAAAATATTAATACATATTTTGCATGCCATTAAAACACACCAAAAATCACTTAATTTCCAAAAATAAAAAACAACAAAAGCATGGGCTCTTGAGAAAGATTTTCTCCTTGATGCAGGTAGGAAGCATTTGCGATTTAATGCCATATAACGAGCGAGATAGTAACTTATAAAAATTTTTATACAATATATACATATTACACACACACACATATATGTGTGTGTGTATGTATACACGTACAAACACATTTTCTTAAATACTTGTAAATCACACAGATTTTCTTGCATTCATAAAATTTTCTATCAAAATATTTAGATGACAGGCCTATCTGTTTATTTCTGTTGCATTATACAACTAGGCCCTTTTTTCTTCAATTTACAAAATATCTATAACATATTTTTCCTAAAAGGGTTATACACATCATAAATTTATGCAAACAATTTCTCCTAAAATGGCTGAAATCAACAGGCCGTGGCTTTTCTTCATAGTCTTTCATTCTATGACATCATCTATCAGGCCCAGTTTTGCTGATGTTATACACCTCCGCTTTTTTAAAATTTCCAGATAAACTTCATGAACTACAAAGTAATTTTCCAGACAAAAAGTAGATGCATCAAAAAGAATATTTTTTTCAAACATAAGAATGAATAGTATTAAAGAAAAATCAATTAGTTAAATGAATATGACAAAAGTTCAAATTTAGCCAAAGGATTTTAAATATAAGTCATAAAATAAAACACAAATATGTCCAGTGCAAAGGGTGTTTGTTCATGAAAGATTTATTCATGCAAGTTTTCCGAATTTAATTTTCTAATCCTAAATATGTACTTTCAGTTATAAAATTCTAAATAAGAAAGAAAACTATATGAAAATTTCAGCGTTGAAAAGAGAGCAGTTTTGAAAGCATAAAAGTAAACCATCTATATGGTTAGCACTGTGGTGATTAGTCATCCAAGCAACAATGGAGTGTACTCCGTCTTTTGCATTGTTGCATATGATTACGGCAACCTTAAAAGGAAAATTTAAAAAGGAAAAAAAAAAACAGAGTCCCATCTCTCAAGAAGGACACATTTTAAGTCTTGAAAAAGGATCAATTCTCCAATGAGCCTGAAGTTCCTTATGAGTGCTGTGAGGATATAAATTATGCCTGATTATAATGGTAACTTCAAAACACCAATAAACCAGCTTTTGCAAAAATTTCTAACTCACAAGTAACCAGCATCTAGTTTTGCTTTTAATGACTTAGCATCTCTTGAGATTTCAAAACCAGAAGTTATGGTTTTGAAATTAATCACACCCAAATTTATCACAGAATCAACTAACATTCGGAATCTAGAATTCTACTGATTCTGTAGAGTAACATAACAAGAATCAATACAGTCATGGAGGAAGATCTTCCTTCAGATACTGCCTCATTGACTCAGGATTTACTTATGAAAACAGACTGATTGATCCATATACAACGCTCAAAACAGAATTGATGAATCTGTCACAAGAATCTTTCCAGCCAGAAATTTGCCAGTTACTATCTTGAGAGGAATCAGTCTCTTGACAACCTTTTGATTTGCTTACGGACATAAAATATCAAGCAGAATTTTAAAATGCTCCTGATAACTTAATGTTGGAATTATTCCTTCAGCATTTCCCTCTGTCCAATCTGGCCATGGGATTCAAATATATAGTCATAAAAGTTATTGACATACAACAGTTATACATAAATTTAATATAAGTTATTGACATAAATCATTTATTGACGTAAACATTAGAATAAAAGTTATTGACATAAAAAAGTTATTGATATAAAAGTTATTGACATAAAACAGAGTATCCTAATAAAAGTGAATACTAATATGTTTCTTTGAAATTTTATTTGATACTGAGGAAGTTTTTCTGCTATATTCTTGTACATAAGACTACTATAATTATATATATATGTATATATGTGATTTATTAAAAATTGCATGAAACAATATAAGCTAAAATGAATAAATTCAGAATATTTATAGTTAACAAAAAAAAGGGGGGGAACTTACTACTAAGAGTAATCAGTCCTCTCTGTATATACCTGAAGTAGCAAAATAAATTGCACACAGCAGCAATCTAAAATTAAATTTAACCTTTTGAATCAAGTAAAAAGTCACAAATTTGGTATACATTTAAGTACACACACATAAAAGAGGGGAAAAAATGAAAGCCAATTTCGAATAAACTGGTAGCTAAACCAAGAACTGAAAGCTGCTGTTATTCAGCAGTAATAATAAAAATAAATAGTACATTTTAAATTCATATCAAATTCAAACAGCAAAGGAAAAAGGTGGTGGGTACAAAAAAAGCAGTGAAAACAAAATCCACAGCATAAGACTTAGAAAAGTAATATGCAATTCTAAAAGTCTGCAAAAGGTAATTTTACAATTCTCACAGCATCTTTGTTTGGAGTGAAGTATCCCAGAAAATGTAAAAAAATCACAGTCTCTCTTTTAGTTAACTATGTGCAATTTAGGACAAAATTTGTGTAATAAAACTTGCTTTTGACTTCTACTTTGTCTCTTTCCAATTAAAAAAAACTGATTTATAAAAATCAGATTTTGTTTTTTTAAAACTGATTTATAAAAATGCCATGACATTTCCTGGTCCAACTGGATGGAAAACACTTTTTTTTTTTTTTTTTTTTTTTTTTTTAATTTAAGAAAATTAGTTTAATTTTTTGGTCCTTTAGAAAGGCACTTCTGCAGATACTGTACATAAGGTAAATAATTTTTTACATTTCTAGTTTGCACCTGCACATGTTCTGTTTAAATCAATTTTCTTTTCAGTTACATTAAGGCCTAAATACTTTTTATTTAATGTTAAATATTTTAGGTAGTTTTCAGTTGCTACATTATTTCTTCTCATTGCTTTTAGGCATGTATTAGCACTTCATACCATTTACTGTTTTTTCAAGATTAAATTTTTCTGCACACAGAGTAAATCATTTTCAACCATTCTAATTTCAACCTTGGTATTCAGAAAATCTAGTTAATATATATGTATGTATGTATACAATAAATGTGGAAAATATTAAAAACTAAAAAAGTGTATATTAAGATTATAACTTAACTTAGCAACAGCTCCTTAATTTCTCATTTTAATTTTAGGTATTTCCCCTCCTTATTCTAAAAATAGTAATGATTTTTCTGGACTGTGTAATTCTCAGACTGATCCATATCATACGACTTTTAAGTAAAAATTATGGCTAATTTGAACGCAAACTTCTCTGTTAAAGTAACATACTGAATAAATATGCAATTGCTTTCTGCCCCTCGGCAAAGGTAGACAAATGCTTGCTGCTTCTCTTCTTATTAAAGAACTATAAAAAATCTTATGTTTTTGAATCGGGCATGATTAGAGTGTTAAATGAATTGTGGCCACAAATGCCGATTAAAATATAAATGAATATTTAATCTGCTTTGGTTACCATGTTTACAGATTATTATGGATCAATATTCACATAATCAACATTTTTACATATCTATATCTAGTCAGACAGGATCTCATAAATGTGGATAACCCACTGGATTTCAACTATAGAATCATAAAGTGTGTTAACAAAAAGGTTGAAGCTTTGCTATGACTATTAATTTTATGTTATTCTACATCCATATGAAACACAGCTCTTGATCTGTGCAATATCCAGAAATGAAAAAAAAATATCCTATCATCACTTTCATGCAACATTTCAAAATTTATTTGAACACGGCGTTTGTATTAAAAGTGATTTAACAAGTTTTTTCAAGAAATGAGAATATGAATGTTCCATATCACTTCAGTTATGCATTCCCAGCCATTAATCTCTGTTTAAAGAATGTGCTTCAAGTTTCTGCAATATAAATTTAACGAATGTTTATCTATAAAAGTAATTCATACTCGTTTTCTTTCAATCATAATGTCTTAATTTACAATAACTTTGGTGAAACAAAACTCAAGTACTGCTATTTATTTTAAAATTTGAAATCAAGTAATTCATGAATAAAAAGTAAGGTTCTAATGAGTGCAGCTAGAATTATAACCATGCAGAAAAATGGTAGTAACACGATTTGAAAATTTAAATATGTAATGTTAATTACCTTATTATATGCAAATTTTTAAAATGCTGCAATGTACCGGGTCATTCAAAAGGATGTATGGTATTTTAATAGGCTGTAATAAAATTATTTTTGAACAAAAACCACCAGAATGGCTTTAAAAGGAAGGAAAACTCTCCCCCCCCCAGCGTGTATTCCGTACAGAAGGTGTGGTGACACTGTCATCACTAGAATGAAAAAAGTCATTTCAATAAGAGAAGGTATTTTGTCTTGTAGTATACAAAATCAGAGTCTGTAATTTTGTGCCAATCACAACTCTTTTAAATTGTTTTGAAATTTTAAAAAATGCTGAGAAAGTTGCATATTGAAATAATATTGAAAAAAAAAAAGTTTCAGAAAGAAGCAGACAGACATTTTGAAAGAAAACCGGACTGAACCCAAACACAAACCTGAAGATTATAAGATTCTCACAGTTTCTTCTAATACAGTAATCAAACCAAGGACATATGATGGAAAATCAACACAGAGTGTATGCAAGACCCAGTTTTTAATCACGACGGAAACTAACAAGTGGGACTCCCACATGAAGGCCTCACAGTTAGCTGCATCATGCCGAGCTGATGTTGTAGACATGTTGGGAGTACTATCAGAAGACCAAATTTCAAACTTCAATGCCCTCTCGAATGTGCTAGAGCTGAGATTCGGGGGAAAATGCATAAAGGACTGTAGCTGCCTACAATTCAAATCTTGCCAGCAGAAAATCATGGAAAGCCTTCAAGAACTGGTGACTGACACTGAAAGAATGGCTCGTCAAGCATATACGGACGGTCCACCAGATGTCCATGAAACTCTGGCTTCAATGCATTTCATCCATATAGTCAATGATCTGGAAATTCAGAAGATTCTAAGATTGGTGGATCTGAAAGACATAAAATCCTCCTTGGTCTATGCCACAAAGTTTGAGTCGACTCAAAAAGTGACTCGAAAAGATCGTCATCCTATCAGAGTGTCTCAAAAAGAAAACTCAAATTTTGATGGCATAAAATGAGAGAAGAAATTAGAGAGATTCGGGAAGCATTAAGAAGACCGAATACAAGCAACAATGAAAAGAAAACAATACTGGAACTGTAGTGGAACTGTGGACTGGGAGGACATCTCTGCAGGAACTGTCTCATAAACAAAACACAGGAAGAAGCTCCTTTGAAACCAAACCAGGAATATGACTTTGAGATGAAAGTAAAGGCTTCTCCCACAGAAATGTGGATGCTTTATCCAGGAAGCTTTGTTCATATCCACCAAAAAACATCAACATCACCCGATCCAGATCTGTGGAGTGAGTGATGAAAAAGTTACAGAAGATCAATTGGCGGATTTTATTATTAAGCCAATAATAAAGCTGAAGGAATCGTTGGATACAAAACCCATGATTCATCTAATTTTGATCTATGGCATGTGCCACTCAAACAGAAAAATGAAATTCCCTGATTTTTCCAGGTGTATTTCAAAAAAATTTCAGTCTATCTGCCTAGTGTGCGCTGACTGTGCCGAGAGGTAAATGAACTGTGGTACCACTTGAAAACACAAAAATTTACCAATTACACATGACTTAATATATATATATAATGTTTTATTCTTGGTGGGAAATGAAAACAATTCCCATCCTAGTCAAGGTTGAAAATACTGCTGCGTAGATGATTGGAAATTGCATCATAGTGGGATGATCTGATGGAATTTTAGAAGAAGCATGACAAGCTTGATAGTTAAACGTCATTAATTTTTTGGACGATGAATTTCTCAGCACATATCTTCATAACTGGCAAATATTAGATATATTAAATGGTTAGCATTGATAACTGATTACTATTTTTTTATTTTACTGCAAAACGATAAAGGAGGCATTTATTAAAAAGAAAAAAAGGTTTAAAAGATTTTGCGATAAAATACTAGTATACAGTATGGCCTTGGCATGATTTTGAAAATTGTCGCCAACACATATGATCCAATCCAAACCCACATATGATCCAATCTCTTATAACTTCTTCATCAACATATTCTTATCTGGACATGGTCCTTTTCCCATGTACTACTTTGCACGAAATTTGAGCGATTCAGACAAGTGCGTATGTGGGGAAAAGGGAGACCCAGAACACTATGTTTTCAAGTGCCAGCTCACAAAAGAGCTACACTGCAAAGGAAGGTCACAAATTACGCCTGAGTACATTAAATGCATGCTAACGATACCTCAATTACAACAAAAGGTTTCCTTGATTATGAAGAAACTTTTTGCATATAAAAGAGAAGACATATGTCAAGATGCTATCACATCTGTATAAATACCTCTTATTCTACAACTTGCAAAAATAATGCAAGATTTCAGAAATATTGCAAGTGTCTGAAAACAGGCTAAATATGGTATAAAGTTTTTATAAAATAGTTACATTAAGAATTTGGACTGTATTAAGTGAATAAGTAAATCATTAATTAAAAATAATATAAATAATATACGACTCTATTAGAGATATTAGTGTTAATGTAAGTATTATGTGATTGTTCTAATGTTTCTATTTTATTTTCTGTATTTTATGATACATTAATTTACAAAAATAATAATGTAAGATTTCAGTGCTGATGCATTTGTGTGTAACACAAGTTAAAAAAAAAAATGAAAGGAAATGTATTAATAAGAGAATTCGCCTTAGTAATTCAACTAAGTATGATAAAGTGCACAAAAAAAAAAAAAGAAAAGAAAAAGAAAAAAGAAATCCTTCAATTAGCTCCTTAAAATGATGTTTTATTTAATTCGATGTAACTAGATATACTAATGTAAATATATTGTTTGTATGAAGTACAATGTACAATGAAAGTTTGTATGTATGTTCGAAGTAATTATGTTATTTCAATCTGCCATAATCCAACTTTTGTTAATAGGTTAATTTCTTTGCAATAATTGTATACTATGTCTTTGTAATTGTATATTCAATACGTAAGTCTAATATTAATGTAAAATTACTATGTAAATGTCTTGGTAGGCTAGCATCCGATGCGGGCCAACTAAAAGCCCAGCGGGGTACAGTAGTGCGGCGGAGCAACACCTGTAAAAGTCACTGACGAAGTTCTGGTGCTCCGTCCACTTTTCCCTGTCCCTGTCCCTGTATATAAGAATGGGATGGTATTTTCTTTGGTTCAACATGCACTGCACATGCAAGTCTCTCAACTGCCGAGGTTACTGGAAACCAAAAGGTGTTGGAAACTTGCTTTGCCTTCCTAAAAGACAATTTGACTGGAGCTGTGAAAATTGGCTCGATGCCAGCTGTCCAAATGATGCTCATGCAATACATAATTTGCCAAGAAAGTGATCTCTTCCAGCGCTGGCACAAAAATCCCTTTTTGAGGATCACAATACAAAATTCCCTGACCTTTTTCAGACTCTGAGTGAAATATTTAAATTCCAACTTTTCCTCGATTTTTTTGGTCAACTTTCAAATTCCCCGACTTTTACCGGTTTTTAGGTTTCCCATATAGCATGATAACCCTGTATAAATCTTGATTGTGTGGAATTTTGATCTCTGGGTTGGCTGGGATATTTATCCCTCCTTGGATTGTCGCTAAGTGTTGGGGCATTAATAATCATGTGACGGTTTTCAAACAGCCACGGTCTGGGAGTTCCTCCTCCCTAATGTAGTGGCGCTGTATAAACTTATGAAATCTTTCCAGAATTTTTGAAAATCATATTCATCATCAAACCAAAATTTACAAGCTAATATTCATAAAAAATAACTAAATAGTAATCTTACTGCTTTTGTTACCAAAAAAACATAAAGCAAATGTGAGACAAATGCTATGATGTCAAAGATATATTTAAATTGTGTAACGGGAAAAAATACTTCATATGTGTGTACACTGTAAAGAAATATGCTTTATAAAATGTATAAATTTAATCCAGAACTCATAATAGTGTTAAACAACCACTAGCACAAATTAACATGCTTTCTCAAAGGTATACAACTTACTCTGTTTCGGCTTAGAGTTGATATACTGTAGCAGCTTTTTCCTTCTATACACATTTTGTATGGGCATAATCGGGGTGCATCCATCAGTGCACAAACTCTATGAATAAAATTATGTCTATATCATTAAGCAAAAAATTAAATACAGTACAAAGTCCAAAATCCGGACTCGTCAGGACTTTGGCGATTCCGGATTTGGGATTTTTCCAAATATTAGATCATCAATTTAAATCTGGCAAGATGGCATGCAGAAATTATACAATTAAAAATATGAAACCGTAATTCATGAAATAAAGAACAATTATGATCTAAAGGGTATCAAAATTTACCAAAAAAAAGCTTAATATTTATTTGTTTACTTTATTAAACATTTCTTTCAATGTAAGTTGTTTAAATTGCTTCCACAAAAAATTCAAAAAGTTCCTTTTTCTTATGTCATATACAGTTTGATTTTCCAATGCCATACTTCTCGGATATGCCTTTATCCATCTTTTGCAGCAATTCCACTTTTTGTTTAATGGACATCAAAACATGGTTTCACTTTGTAGATCCTTTGGCAGCTCCAGAATTGGAAACTCTTTTCGACATAATCAAAAGTTCGAGCTTAGTTTTTATAAAATTGCCGTAATAATAACAGTCTGCGAAAAATAATAAGCTGGATCAAACTAGAAGATTAGGGAGCAGCGCAGTCCGCTACATTAAGTGAAATGCCTTAGAATCAGTAAAGATAATTTTAGCCTAGCTTAAGCGTCCGTTATACATTATTGGCTGCGTATCACAAGATTGGTGATGAAAGCCAAGATGATGGTGATTGTTTTTGTTAAATTTTGTCTTGCTGCCATTGCATACTGAATTAAGCTTGGATTGTATTAGTTTAATTATTTACTATACCTATGCTTATTTCTTGCACATGCTTAAAACTAATCCGAGTCCTGAATAAATAAACTTCCACATATACTTAATGCTTTATCTAGGGCCAGCACTAAATACCGCCTGGTGCAATCTCTTCGGGTCCTAAATTCTGCTACAAAACACCTTCCTAAGTTCTAAATTTTTGCTGCACCTAAACTTTAGATCCCAGTGCTTTCCCTAAATCAACCCCTGAATCCCTTAATTTTGCCACTCAGTGCTTCTCCAAATTCCAAAAATTTAATCTTCCCCAAATTCTGCCATCCAGTGCCAACATATTCTGATGCCGCTTCTGAGTTTATGGTAAATAACATATCATTTATTCTTAATTAAAATAGCACTAAATGTAATTTTTTGGCCTATGAGTTTCATTCACAAAATCTATTTTTAGCATATGAAAAGAAATTTTTATTGAATTTTTCCTCGTCAACATTTCTTAAAGCATTTAAAAATCTATGATCATCGCCAAGCGTAAAATTAGCATAAAAGGTTGCCATGTGCTTGTTATTCAATTACTAATATAAAAAAAAAGTTTAGACATCACTGCATGAATTATTACTGAAGCTGTCATGCATTGATAAACATGCGATCATGAAAGCAAAATATAATAAATAATGACTTGCCAGGTCGGCATCAGGGATATAAATACGTGAATTTTTCGGTTTGAGATGTCTGTATTAACTGTATTTACATGCATCATATTATATTCTGAGCACTCTGTGATTGATGAACTTTCCACCACAAAGCTTCGCCCAGTGCTCACATTTTTTATCAAATTTCAGCACTCATATGGACTTTTTCATTGAAATTGTTGCTGTATATACTAACTAGGACTATTATATCCTTCAGAAAAATATGTTTTCTCATTTTAAAATCTTAGTTATTTTTTAAATTGTAATTATTCAAGATTTCAGCCCACAGCCAAATGGCATGGACTCTCTGTCATCACGTGACGAGGTTCTCCAAATGGACTTTGATTCTCTTATGTAAATATTGTATATCTTATATTTAATCAAGACTCATTAATCGGAACTTTCATCTGAGGAACTATGTTTTTTGCTATTTGAAATATCTTTGATACGTTTTTAATGTACGTAAACTCATCTTGTACTTGAATTATATGTTACACCACCCCACAATTTAAAATTCTAAAGTGGCAATATGCCACCTTTCTTTTTATTATTCACATCTTGTCTCTGTGACACCTTTATATATAAGGTCACTCAGACTAATCTCACAAATTTATGCTTACATGATTGTTTTTCCATTATGAGGTATTTTATTTAGTGCCTAAGTGAAATTAAGAATCGGAATATTTAAGTGAAAATCTCCACATGTTTTATTATGGAAGATGTGTGTATTTAATTATGGCAAAGCACACTAGGGCTATCTGCCTAAGGGGAGGGATGCCTTCGTGGAGGACTTTCTAAGGGAAACTGGCTCGTATACACGTTACACATGGGGAAAACCACGAAAACACCCATGCAGCCAGCTTGTCCACGGGATTCGAACCGAACTACCAGTGTTCAGCGACTTTACCGCTCGTTTATTATGGAAGGAAAAATCAAATGTGCATGCGTAAAGAATACAAAAAAAAAGTTTGTGGCTTTGAGGTTCGGATTTTAGATCATTCCGGATAATTGGACGTCCGGATTTTGGACTTTGTACTGTATTACACAATTAGCAAAAGTTACATAGATATTTTAATGTTACATTATGATGATTAAATTGTGCATACATAAGGTGTTGAAAACCAATGTCTATAAACTTCATTCTTTCAGTATTGCAACTAGGCATGTACATATATTGGGTCGTCCGGAAAGTTCAACAATTCTTTATTACAAATACAAATGAAGCAATACGAAAACATGCGAAAATTTCATTGAATCACATCAGCACCATTTTGATCTACAGCATTTTGCCATTTCTCTGATAGCTGAAGAACAACTTTCTTAAAAATTTCACTATGTTCTATTTGAAAAGAAGTTAACGTGGTACAGTTTGACAGTCCCAAGTAATGAACTAAAGGCCACTCAGAGAATTTTTAAGTAACCTGAAAAGATGAAGGTCTGAGGAAACAAGATCAGGTGGTGAATATGAGAGGTGACAAAAAACATATTGAATAAATCTTTGTCAGGCATCTATTAAAATTCGAGGCTGAGCATTGTCATGATGGAAGACAACACAAAAACTGTTCAGTCCTGGGCACGTTGCTTTGATTTCTGCTTTTAAAAACCGCCATTTGGAAACAGAATTTTCCTGAATTTATTGTCTGTTTTAGTTGCAACAACTCATAGCACACAGCAGCTTTGTAGCCTCACCAAACATACACAAAGCATTACTTTGGGGGGGGATGCAGCCCCTTGTTGTTGTTATTAATTTGGCTTACCCCATAACCATTTTTTGTAAGATTATTATATATTATCTACTTTTGATCTCCAATAATCAGCTGTTTCAAAAAAGAAGCTTTTTTATTTTGTTTCAGCAAAAAATACCATGCCAAGACTTGAGCAAGCAGATTCTGTGTTGATAAAGTACCCATTCAATATAGTGGTTTACATACCCAATATTCTTCAAATGATAATACATTGCACCTTTTGGGGTATTTATTCTGTCTGAAATTTCCTAAACACACAAGTGAATTTTTAGCTATAGTTTATTTTAATAGGTTTCAGTTAAACAGGATAATCATTCTGAGTGGGTATAATTTTCGAGGGTGAAATTTCCATGCTTAAACATCTCAAATCACCTCCAGAGTGTATCATCAGAAAGAGCAGTTTGTCCACATATAGCACATATTTTACAAGCAGCCTGACTTGCCCCCTTTTTTTTTTATGAAAGAGCATAATAAACTTCAGGGTCCTCCATTCTTAACATAAAACTGAAACAAAAAATTATGCCACAACACATGCTAGAATTACCCAATCACAGCAGGAAAGGGCACATTTAAACATTCACTTGGATAAAGGTTACCCCTCATCAGCAGTAACAAAATAACGAAACAAAAGTGGAATTCGATTTAAAAGAATACAGAACTTTCCAGATGACCCAATAAATGCATATATTCAAAATAAGGTAGAGAATTTTATAAAAACAGTTCCAAAGCTAAGGATGAATACTTTCTGTATATGCAAAATCTAATATTTTATACGATCCTGAACAGCAAAAAAAGCCCATTTAGCAAAAAATTTCTCCTGCATTAATTAGCTAAATACAAAATATTCAATTCCTTTTTACATGCAAAACTTAAGACGTATTACAGAATAAATTTACGGGCTTCGGTCACTTTACAGTGCATACACGAAGCTGATTTTGAGTGATATTTGATATTTTTCAACCAAATTTAGGAAACTACTACAAAATTCAAGCTGCTCATTTTAAATATTGGTTCCATGCTGGGTTAATAGCAAAAACTGCTAACACAAATTTTAACAAATTTATTAATTACTTATTGTTGGTGCAGAAAAATATTAAATTCATGAAATAAATTTTTGTACGAAAATTGCGGAGCCTTTGCAGCGGAATGTGGATTGTTCCGCTGATTTTATAGGATTTTTTTTAAAACTTAATGATTTTTAAGAGCACCTTATATTAAACACCAAATTCATACTCTCTTCCCTCAATTTTACTTATAAAGTGAACTAATTTCAAGTGACAAACCTCAAGCAGTGAAACTTATGAAGTGAACAGACTTAAAGAGCTTACTTACAAGTGAACAAATTTCACAAATTTTCTCTCTTTATTAGAAAAGAATTTCAAAATCAAAAAAGTTAATAGAAAAGTTATACCTACTAAGGTATAAAGCCAGTGAAAACTATCACATATGTGACACAAATTTTCAAAGCTTAAATCTGCAATTGAAAAGAAACTGTGCTAACAAATTAAACGCTATTAATTTATAAAAAAATTCAAATAATAAAAGATAGTTTAGAGTGTTTGTTTTCAATGGCCTAGCAAGAAATTTTAAGAGAAAGAACTCATTTTTAAAATCTCACGTGCTTATGCTTCTTATTGCTTCGGTCCTTCCTGGGTATTTCAAATTCAATCAACAGACCACTCTTTCCACACACACATTAACGCTAATGCAAAGTGAAAGCAATGCAAAGTATAATCACAGCTGTTATAACTGAAATTTTTATATTTCTTCCCTTAAAAGATGCAACTTTAGCTCTTAGAGCACTTACGGTAAAACTTTTACTTTTCCTACATAATTCAAACCACTTCATTCAGTTAAAGAATGAGGGAAACTTTAATTAGACACGGGATTCAAAACAAAACATTCAATGCTTTTCAAGAGATAGCTGATTCAGGTTATAATTTCATTGAAGAAAGTATTGTAGTATATTTTCCCCTGATGTAAAAACAGGGAGCTTTTTGTTAAAACAATTAAGCTTTTTGCTTTATAATCGATCTCAAAGCAGGACTGAGTTTTCCTTATGTTTTGAGTTCTTATTGCCAAATCTGTAGTTATGATCTGAAGTAAAAGGTAAACATAAACTATATATTTTCAATGTGTTTGAATAATTTTTATCAGAAAAGTGAAATGACCCTTTCTCTATTCAAAAAGCACAGCAGAATGTTTAATACCACACTTTATTAAAATTCTAAAGCATTAGAAATGCATCTTTTGTAGTTGAGCTCATTTCAGTAATACAGGCTCTTATGCTATAATTTTATTTTTTCATATTTCAGTATGTACACACATTAACATTTGTAAGTAACACTAATTAAAATATTTTCTTTAATTTCAACTCTAGAACAATTGAAAAGCACTTATCTATTCCATCCCTAGTAATATGTTTACCGTAATTTCCGGAAGAAAAGCCGCATCAGCGTAAACGCCGCATTCGAGAAAAATGGTGGGAAAAAAATTAAAATTACACAGAAACGCCGCATCAGCGTAAACGCCGCAATAGATTAAATTGTGCGTGACATCGTCGGGGCCGTATAGATGCAAAAAACTCAACCTAAGTCCTGATATATGACATACCAGTTAAGAAAAATGCATGAAATGAAACCATAACTCAAAAATAAATAAAGGTAAGAAATGTATAGCTTCTGTGCCGTTTAGAGACATTTTCAAATTTTTTTTCCGCCCCTTCTTACTTAAAAACTATCCAACAAGTACTTGTACACAAACTGATGGGATCTGTATTTGGCAGAATGCCAAGAAATCCATTCATGCTGAAGGGGAAATACGTCAGAGTTCGTTATTGCGAGGCAGGTGGAGTCGTGTCCGCCTTTGAAAAAAATTGCAGAAAAGGGCAGGGGTGGGGAGAGGATGGGTCCTGGGATTCATCGAATAGCAGAGAAGAGAGACTATTCAAACTGATGAGAACGTTGATTTGAAAGGGGGAAGAATGTTATTGTTCCGAGATCTCGTTTAGGGTGAATAAGGCATGTAGGTCCGTTCAAGGGAAAGAATATAAACAAAATAACGTTCGCAAAAAGCAACTGAGAGGTCTTTTGTGTGGGAATAGCACCAGTCTATGCACAATGACAAGGCCATCCAAACTATGTACAATGACCATCGTAGGAAATATTTTATTTTTAGTGCACCTAAACGTCGCATGGGTAGAAATGCAGCACCCGCTGAAAATTTAAGTTTTAAACATGTAAACGCCGCGGCGTTTCTTCCGGAAATTACGGTAGTTTGCACTTTTATATGAGTATCAGTAATTTCATATTTTAATTCACGTACTTCTACCTGAAAGAAATACTATGTTCCATTTATTATGTTTTATTACAACTAGTAACAGCACTTTGTTGACAGATATTAAGATTGCACTTTTTCAGGGCATGTTTACTATATTAAAAGCATGTTCATTTAACTACATAATTGCAATGAATTTTACAGTGTTTCACAGAAATCATCTTACTTTGGCAAAGGATCTTGTGTATTAGTAGGAATCTTTTCAATTGTTATTTTATCATCTTCTATAGCAGCTAATACCATTTCAGACAGCTAAGAAAAGGAAACAAAATGAAATAAAGTTGCAACAAGTAGGAAGGATGTTTTAAGATGTGCAGTTCAAAATTTATTAAGATCTGTTACAAGAATATATCACAAAACAAACTTCAGTTTTTAACAGATACAGTGAAAAATTATAAAAAAATTAACGCACTTTGTAAAATGGGAAAGCAGCGTTCCCTTACTGATGCAATGAAATTAATACATATGAGTATACTTATCTCAAAATGAAGCTAATGCCATTTAATACTGAAATAATTACAGCCATATTGCAAAAATCAATTTCTCAGAGAAGCAATGTACGTTTTTAAAATCCTAATGAAGGACTAAATATTATGCTAAATCTTTAATTTCAATTATCAAGTTTTAAACCTAACCAATGGGCAACTCTACCAGGTGAGCAGACTGCAGCCAAAGCAAAATTTATAAGCTCTATGTAAATCTTAACCCTTTTCGGCACACTACATTTTAAAGGTGGAGTTTTGATTTTAAAAAAAAATAGGCAGTCTAACTAGGCCTAGAGGAGTACACAAGTAAAATTTTGTGAAGATAGCACTTATCGTTTAATTCTGTGGGTGTGCCCAAAGTAAGTGCCACTGATTGAATAGAGTTTCAAACAGAGTGCTGAAATGAGCATTGTTGTCAATGAACTGACCGATGAGATGCGGATAAACAAAGAATACAGACTCTCAGTTGTCCTAGATTATCGGTGAGCCCTGTCTGGGCACACCTAGGCTGTATGATTTTACGCATGATTTCAAGGTAAAAATTTTAAACTAATATAGAATAAGGAAATTAGCATAGAGCCAAAAAATAACATAGAAATTTCTGAAAAATGAGTGTCTTAAAAAACTAAACATGACTAAAATATATGGACTGGTTTGTGTTGAGCTGCCATCTACTATGAGGGTTGGAACTTTAATAGTGGCAACACAGCTGAAAAAACCAAAGAATATCGACATACCTACCTTACCTCTCAGGAAAAAGACTCGTCCTGCCTACGTCACGTGCATGCGGAGTGACGCGAAGAACGAATCCTTGTATTAGCTCGCGGTCTAAAGTAAGTGTGTTCAGGATGTTTTCAAAACAAGAACTACGATGTTGGATAAAAATTGAATGTGCCAGAGGTCGTACAGCACAACAGTGTCATCAAAGGCTTCAAGAGGCTTGCGGGGAATCTGCATTGCCTTACAGAACCGTAGCAAGATGGGTGAAAGCATTCAATGAAGGACGCCAAAACGTTGTAGACATGCTGTGGCCAGGTCATCCGAATGTCAACGATGCAGATGTGCAAGCTGTTGCCACACTAATGGACAGTGATCGCTGCCAAACGATTCGTCAGCTGGCCGGACAAACAGGATTAGCGCATACAACTGTGCTGCACATTCTGAAGGAATGCCTGTCCATGAGAAAAACTGCTTCACAATGGGTTCCACATCAATTGACGGAAATGCAGAAATGGCTACGATACCATGCTGCCCGAACCCACCTGGAGCACTATGAGTGCGAAGGAGATGCTTTTTTACGCCGTATCAGTACGCTGGATGAGACTTGAGCCCGATCGTACCAGCCAGAACTGAAATGCCAAACGAATGGTGTCATCATGGCCACCACGACATTCGAAATTTCATCAGAACCCAGCAATGTGAAGTTATGGTGATTTCTGTACGACTGTGATGGTGTTATCCTAACGCATACCGTTCCCCTACAGCAGACCGTCACGCGCAGTATTAATGCTCATTTTTGGAGCACAATCTCCAACCAGCTTTGAGAAAAAACGGCGGGTTTTAAGCGCTCTCTCATTTTGCATGACAATGCTCGGCGCATGCAGCGCAGCTGTGACTGAGTTGTTCAAGCGATGGGGCTGGGAAGTGCCTTTACCACCAAATCTCCCCAGATGTAAGCCAATGGTGACTATGACTTAATTCCTAAGATGAAGGAAACCACTTCGTGTCACTTGCTTCCAAACTGTTCTGAGATTCTTGAGGCAGTAGACCAGTCCATTCAAACTATCAAAAACAGGTGCTGCTACAGGTATTTGCGACTTCCACATCGTAGAAACGGGTTGTACACAATGCTGGAGACTATACGAGGACTGTAAAACTGGTGACTGATCACTTTTGTATTCCTTGTAAATAAATAGTTGCACTATTAAAGTTCCAACCCTCATATAAATAAAGAGGGATCAGAGTAACCTATAGTAACCTATAAATCCTTTTTCATTCAATTTTTCTTTGCGTACAGAAGGAAATTTTTTGGTGTGTCCAGACCAGACACACTGTGGCGCAAAGGGTTAAAAGAATATGCATAAAAACATTTCAATATGAATGAAATCAGTTTATTTTTCTCAAGCGACAACTAATTTGTAAATATTTTTTTTTATTACCAAACTAAGAAACAAAAACCTTTGACACTTCAGGTTAATACGTATGACATCAGGATTTAAATTTAATGTGGAACCTCGAGATATGAGAAAATATGACCGAAAAATTTTTCTCTAAATACAAGCATTGACTGAGTAACGAGCCATGAGTCAGGCTGTTGGTATGCATGGCCCCATTTCCCAATCTGGCTCGACTCGGGGAATTTCTTCGTCAGATCACTCAGCTTCCAAGAATTTTTGGATTTTAAGGGTACCTCTCTCGAAACTCAATTCCCTGACGTTCTGGAGGAGATGATGTTACAAACAGACATAAGGATAGACAGATGTCCACAAATTTTTAATAGTACAGATTATACGGAGTACATGGGATATAATACAACTCAGTTTCATAATTTAGCCATTTGAAAATTCACAGAATTTTTCATCATTATAATATTTAATTTTTGAATTTAATAAATGTAAAGTAAAAAACTATTCAAAATTAACCTGAAATAAATGCATAATAAATTTATCTTTTAATTACATTAACATCAAAAATGTATACAGATTAAATTATTAATTTTTATTAAATCAATACAAATTATCACTTTTTATAAAATATTTTTGAGAGCTTTTAAGTAGTTTTGCCAAAATGCACACTTTGTAATCCAAATATTACATTTCAAATGCTTCACAGTTTTTTTAACTGCTACTTTTTCTAATTAATACACCTATTGTTGTTTGACTTCTAAATTAATGCTACTTTTTATGCTAAGATAGTCAACTAATAAATATATCAAGATTCTCAATCAATAATACAAATCAAAACACCAGTTCAAGAAGCTACTCTCAACTTACCAGTCTACACTTTCACCTTCAATAACATGAAATTTAAAATATTTTTTAAATAAATTTATTTGCACTTCACACAAATCTTTCATATCTTCAAAAATACTACCTGATATCTGTGATCAGTAGACTTAAACATTCCTTTTCAGGGAACACTGTTTAAATGACATTTATAATTGATACAAATACACAGCTTACTATTAGCAACTGTATAAAACAATGCACAATTAACATGTCCTCATGCATACATTATAAAATACAAGATTAACATATGCTCTGATACAAAAGTCTGCTCTCATCAAAAAGACATTTCATCACTCAGCATGCATAGTTAAGATGGTATTTGGCCTGGATTGCAATCAGATAAATGACAAATGCTGCCTCATAGAATTTCTTGTCAAATATTCTGCACCTGCTCCAAAGTTTCATTCACATTATAAGATGGCTGTAAATTTCCCAATATAATAAGTTAATGTCAAGCAAGGCAAATTCTAACACTTAAATACTGTTAGGCTGAAATTCCACCTTAATTATATTTAGTCTAACTTTATCTTAATATGACTATAATTTCATCAGTTGACAGATGTTAAATGATAACCATTATTAAAATCTGATTAAACATTTGTTAGAAGACAAAGTAATATGTATAACAAGCAGCATATCTCATCAGCCTACATAAAACGGATTACAGATCATTCCTATAAGTTATACTTGATAGTTCTTGTTAACAGTAATAGTTGTTGCTATAAGTTATACTTGATGACTTACCTGGAATGAACATAGATCTAGAACACAGGCCTGGAATGAACATATCTACCTGGAAATATAGAATACAGACCTGTAATGAACATATATCATTCCAGGTATGTGTAATATGATTGAAATCAGGGGAAGTGTGATGACCAACCCATTCAAACAATACCCTCAGTTAACAGCATTCAGCAATACACCAGCTCAATAAGGTCAAACACCGCCATCTATGAGTATTAAATAAGTGTCAGCAGAACAGCTTAACTGAGGATGCAGAACATCTTCTTCCACTGATTGATTACAGAACCTCTGTCACAGATTTAATTGTTGGTGTTCTTCTCCTACTAGAAGTGCTATAAGTTTCAACCTCACTTTTTTGTTCATATCAGTTGTCAAATGTTGCCATCAAATGTTATCACCATTTATTAATTTAAAAAAAAGTAACACAGCAAGTATAAAAAATACGGCATTACAAATAAAAGGATGCTGCCACCAAACGTTATCTCTACATATTATTTTTAAAGAAATAATATTGCAAATATTAAAAAATGCATGGCAACACAAATAAAAGGATGTTATATCACCATGTACTTCTTTAAAGAAATAGTATAGTGAATATAAAAAATTCATGGCAACATTAAACACCTTTATCAAGAATTCAAGATATCTGGTATAAAATATTTTTAACTTCCTTGAGTCAGTTATTGCCATTTGGTGAAGTGAAAGATACTTTTTTCATTTAAATTTAACATACCTGCTACTGATTAACAAACTAAACAATTTAAGAGCAATAAATGCAGTTATTTATCTCTTTTACTTATTTTCACTTGGAGCTGTGAAATGACACTAGCTCGGTTTCTTAAAAACATTATATATATTTCAGTGACTATTTTAGGCAGCTGGCTGGTCCATCAACTAGTTTATTTCAAAAGTGAAACAGACAATGAAAGTGGTTTGATGCAATTATTATGTTTAGGAATGACAGCTCTTCTGGGCTAAAAATGTAAGGAATGTCCAACACTTATTTGGGAAT